AATTTATATTCCAATACCCAAGATTTTTAAGATTTGGGGGAAATCGTCGATTTTTGAAGAAAAAAATTCAATAATTTAGACTGATTTCACCCCATATTTTCGACGCAATATTTCTTTTGAATAGCAATTCAATCCATAAATCGAGTTGGAATGTGTTCGAGGGCCCCTTAGGGCATCTTAAGTTCATTTTTTGGCCAAAATTGACAAAACATGTAATGGGTTAACCTTACATTTTGATCAAAATTTGGCCAAAATTCACTTTTCCCCAAATGAGCCAGAAATTCCTTTGGATGCAAGAGGAGCCTCAATTATATTCCAACACCCAAGATTGTTAAGATTAGGGCAAAAATCGTCGATTTTTGAAAAATATCAATAATTTTGACTGATTTCACCCCAAATTTTTTGACACCCATGTTTCACATCACAGCAGTCAACAACTGTTGACAATAAACCAGTATATATAGACATGTATACCAAAATTGAGGATATATTTACTGCCTGTGAAATGTTGTATGCTACATACAAAGATGTGTTCGTTTACATATGTACATATACAACAAACAAACAATTTTAAAATTATACATGAATTATGATCCAAGTTTACTACATCTAGCAACTATCATGTTAATGTATGATTGAAATGGTTGCTTTCTTTATTGATTCTTAACTATTTTAAATTCATTCTATTATATTATTGACTTAATTGAGTGGGGAAAGGGTTTACATGTACAACTATAAAGGCTTATCTTCCGTCCTGGTAGCTCTTCAACAAAGACCTTTTTTTAGCATCACCTTGAAACAATAAAAGATTGTTATCCATTTGGACAAATAGATTTCCTATAACCAGTTATCATTATTTTAATAAAAACGTTTTCATAAACTTCATATTTGTAGCTGTCAAATAGAACAAAGTTGATTGTATTACTGTTTTGTTTTTGGTGTTTTTTTGTTTTGCTCGTGTTATTGGTGCTCCTGCTTTTTCAGGGCAATTACAGCATTATGAAAGGCAGTGTAATGTCCCTGACAGAGCCAATTATGATATCTAATTAACGATTCAGAAAAATGACCTAAAACTCCAAGTCTGTAATCTCCTTGACCATTACTAGATGATGGATATACAATGTATAAGAATTGAAAAATATCTTGTTAGGTTTATTTACTGAGGTCTTTACGAGCTCTGACAGGGATATTACGTAGCGCTGGAATTGAACATCCAAAAAATATATATATATTAAGGATTTGCTTAATTCTGTTTTCGCCTGGGCATAATCAGGCAAAGAAACTGGAATAAATGTCATATCTAATACTGTACTATTGTTCTGTGCTGAGTTTGTGTTACATTAAGGCATGGGGTGTCATAATCGAGTCTTATTTGGTGATATGTTTTATGAACAAATGGCATTACTTTATGATTGTTTTAAGACGAATGATATTTATTCATTGGCGTGTTATGCGCGTGTGTGTGATGATTTTTAAATTATGTCACTATACAAATGCAATTTTCGTCAATTTATGTTATTCATTTAAAGGAGTAAAATGATTTAGTTACACAGAAATATAGGATGTATGTAAATGTATGTTATACGGAAAAAAAAGTTATATAAAAAGAAAATGGTCAATACGGTCAGTTATCAGCCCTAATATAGAACAACCATTTTCAAAATGTCCGCCACCACTGGATAAATGCTGAATACCCAAGTGTTCACAGAATAAGTACATGTATTGACACCGTAGAAGTAGCGTTTCGAAAGGTAGATTATTTTCATGCTACATGTATTTTATTAAATAAACTGTTGAATACATGGAACACTGCTTGACTCCTTGTTGCTTGTACATTTACTACAAATCACCTTATACATGTACACAATAATGTGTGTTTCAGAATACTTAGGAATTTTGAAGGAATAAACTCTAAGCTTAATTTTTTTTCAGCAAACATAATTTGTGTAATTACTTAATAGCCACTGCTGACTGGGCACAGTTTCATGTGGCTACCAGGTAGAAAGTAGTGTTTAGGAAATTACCATTTTGAGCACACACAAAAACCTTGTAGTCCTACTTAATAGCATCAGATGTAACTTCGCCCTGCTCATAACATGTAAATGCTAAGCGTATATCCATGAAACATGCTTCACTCCAGGAACCGATTTCATGGCCCTGAAACGGTAAGCAGAAAAGTTGTGCTTAGTATAGCAAAAAATTGTGCTCACCTTAAGCACTATTTCATGGCGTGATGTGCTAACGGTTGCAAGTGCATGCAGATGTTCACTGTAGCGTCACTGATTTAAGCACCTTTTTCCTTTGAGGTAATCGTGCTGTGCTTACTGCTTACCGTCTCCAAGACATAGAGGCTCTGTTGGCAGAAAATTGTGTGCTTAGCAGTTAGCAGTGCCATAAAATTGGGCCCAGGCAACAAGCAGTACTTGCATTTATCATGAAAAAATTTGGTATAATTTAAACATACATGTATTTTTGTGTTCAGTAACCAAATGACGAAGCACCACTCGAAACCCTCTTGGCAAGGTACAGAGAAACTTTAAAATATATTATGCATTTTGTTTAAATGCAGATGATAAAAAACTACAACATAGCTACATCTCAACTTTACAATACCGTTGCTACTTCTTACCCCAAAAGTATTCCAACTTTGTTATTCTAGCAAACATGTACGTTTCTTTTGATCAAATGTACAAAGAATCTGATCTTGTGTTGTGAAAAGAAAAGGAAACATCATTTTAGTGAAGATGTTTTGGAAATCTCTTTCAACTTGATGCAACAGAAAAGTACCAAAACTCATGCTTTTCAGATTATAAACTCTAACCGTTTTGTAAAAAATAAAATAATCCATAAATGGATAATTACACAAACATTGTAATACGGTAGTGGAAATGAATATGTTGTTAAATAAAATAAAATTGGCAATGTGCATAATTGATCAGAATTTACGCAGCCATCATGATATAATACATTACTTAAATTATCCCACCAGAATGATATTAAGCTCAATGGATGCATTTTCCTACACTTTTCTATATGAAGAGTCATGTTTCTTTAAACGATTTGTCACATTATCCACGTACATGCACACACTGAATACACGACCACATGCCAATATCATCATGCAACATCTTGCTTAATAGTAGGACAACAGCATTCTGGGCCTTAAAACTCGGAGCAATATTTACAGAGCAATATGAGAAATAAAAGGCCGCTTCAAAATGCAGACTGGGTTGACCTTAACAATTTAAAGTCGTAAAAGGGCAAGGGTTTCTGACTTTGTAATCCTAACTGGATCTTCTTCTTTTTAAGCAAAATGAGAAATGCCCTGCCTTTGGAAAATATTATTTTGGAATAAATGCCAGGCCCTCTAAATTTTTATATTTATAGAGCTTACATTTACCTTGATAATGGCAACCGAAGAGGTAAAAAAGTATTGAAAAGAGAACCGATCATGGATTTTTTTCTTTAGACTTGTGAGATATCTTGCTAGCGCATGAAAAACAATCAAGGTTTTGAAACTCTTCAAAGCAATGTTTTGTGTGCGCTTGTAAGTTGTGTGTAAAACTTCTGTAAAGGAAAATAACAGGCATAAGAGATTTGACCACTCTTGGTTACATTTTGCCACGCAAGTAAACTATTAATCAAAGTGTCTGCAAGCGTTCAAAAAAACACTTGACCTGTTATGATTGGCATCACACGTGAAGTGCTAATTGTGAATAACCTTTCAAAAATAATTAAAAAATATTTTCACTTTCTTCAGCTTTTGCGTTTGTAATATTGAATTAACACGTACAGAAGTTTCAACTGTGTTTGCTTTTTAAGCACAATAAACACCACATTTCAGAAACTAATCGTTGGTTTGCCTGGAAAGCTACCTACTTTCGTCGTTTTGTAGGAGGTTGATTACCTGACCTTTCATCACGGAGCGTCTGGACCCTCGACGGCTACTGGCTGGCTCAGGAGCCCTTCCTCTATCCCTCCCCTGCTTGGTGTTTGGCTACGCGACCCACGGTCATTATAGTAATACATGTCCGAGTATCGGTTGCCCCGTTTGGCCTCATCTCGACCGGAGGAAACGTCTTGTGAAGTGCTCATGGGAGGATGGTGAAGAGCCACGCCTTGTCTGCTCGTGGGCGGAGTTGGGGCAGGAGGAGGGTGGGGTGATGAAGTAGACGACCTCTGTAGGATGCCCTGGTGTCGCTGGGGGAGTAACGTCGGGGTGGGGAGACGTGCCTCTGACGGGAAGCCCTTGTGGGTCTGTTCAGCAGCCTCACGGCTAGTGCCATCTGATTTACCGCTGTCAGTCGATACTCTCCTTGACCTGGAGCGTCCAGCTTTATCCCCCTCTTCTGATGGGAGATGGGCGACTGCGAGTAGCGGCCGCGTTTAGACTGGCCGTAATAAAAGTAGTCATCATCTAGTGAGTCACGGGGAGAGGTGGCGTGACGCTTAGGGCGGGTCCCATAGCGGCTCTCGGGCGGGGATGACTCTGAAGTCTCACTACTGATTGGTTTATCTTGGGGTCTTGACTCGCTGCTGATTGGTTTGTCTTGTTTGTCACTGTCTGTGTTACTCTCAAGGCTATCCTCGCGCTTGTAGCTAGTCTCCCAAGTTTTTCAGTGTCATCAGGTACAGAGGCATCACTGTCTCTAGACAGGGTTCTCATCCCTGGCTGTACACCAGCAGGCTTGATGTCCTGCAGGGATGTCTGACTGAGCTTGAAAACGGACCCGAGAGGCAGGTGCTTTGGGCTGTGCACTGTGTATATAGGGATGGATGATCCTTTGTCGCTGTGCTCTTCAGACTCTGAATCTGCATCTGAGTAAATTGATGGCTCATCCTGAGTGGGAGTTGGTGGGTTGTCGATGTCCTCACTTGGTGTCACCACGGTTACTGCTGGTTCCACGGTAACTGCTGGTTCCATGGTAACTGCTGACCTGCTTCGTCTGCTGTCACAATTTGTTGAGCTTTTGCTGCTTGCTCAACAGCGGTAGCATCCCTCAGTGAGGGCTCAATTGTTTCTTGTGATGCTGTTTACTGCATGTCTGTCCCTCAGGATGATCCGTCTGGTTGTATCCCCTAGCAACTCCTCCTGGATTTTTCTGCTCTTCATGAGTTACCTCCTGGTCCTGAACCTCCTGCCTCCCGGACTCCTCTACCAATTTCTCAGCCGCCGGTCCAGAACCCTGTTCACTACTTGGAAGCTCCTCTTCTTCAGCTTTAACCTGCTCCTGTTTCTCATCCGGGTCGTTGATTCTTTCATCCTTTTCTTCTCCTCCCTGTTGCATTTCTGCTCCCTCCTTTTGTCCCAAATCCTGCACAGTTTCGTCTACATCCTGCTGTAGCTCTTCTGGCTGTAGTCTGTCATGTTTTTCCTCGAGCAGAACTGCTTCTTCAGTCTTGGCCTTTTCTTCCACATCCTCCTCAACCAACTTCCCTTTCTCTTCCACAGAGCAAGGGTCTTGTTCAACAACAGATGACTGAAACATCTCCATCTGCTGGTGCTCCTTCATTGGTTCTTGAACTGACACTGGTTCTTGAACTAACTCAGGTTCTTGGACTGGCTCTGGTTCTTGGACTGGCTCTGGTTCTTGGACTGACTCTGGTTCTTGAACTGACTCTGGCTCTTGGACTGACTCTGGTTCTTGGGCTGACTCTGGTTCTTGGACTGACCTGGTTCTTGGACTGGCCCTGGTTCTTGGACTGACTCTGGTTCTTGGCCCCCCTGTAGCGTATTAGACTCCTCCTCTCTTGGCAACTTTTCAGCATCTTCCTGGACATCTCTAGTTATCGCCTGCTGCTCTGTCTCTTCCTGTGGCTGTTGTTGCTCTTCTTGTTGCTCCTGCTCTGGAATCTTCTGGTCTTGGCTGGCTGTGGCTGTGAACGTGGCATACTGCTTCTTTCGCGGAGGCACCAGCCACCGCCTTGGCTTGAGCAAAGGCGAACCTGGAAACCTTGGAGTCTCTCCTCTCCTTCCGCTTGCGAGTGCTCAGCTTTCTCTGTTGTTCGCCGCTCAGCCCCTGGGTGAGCAGGTGGTGGCATCGGACCTGGGGCTCCCGGCGCTCGCGGTAGATCAGGTGGAAGCACTGAAGCTTCTCCTTGCGGATGAAGGCTCTCAGGGGGATCACCTCTGGCTGCTTTGTCTCCTCTTGGTGCATCGCGTCATCATCTTCTTGTTGAGATACCGTCTCCTTTGGAAAGTAAAAGAGAGAAAAACAATGAAATCGTCGCGTTATTGCAACAAGGTCGTAACTCCATTCTGCAACAAAGTCGTATCTCGCGTGAATACGCTCTGTGCAACAAAGTCGTATCTGGATGTCCATTGACTTTGTGTGTACATCGGGTTAGTTTAAGTGAGATACAACCTTTTGACATTCGAAAACTTGCGTTGCACGTACGGCCCATTTTAGGAGATACGACCTTGTTGCATGGACAAGACGAAATAACAACGTAGTTAGAAAATATCCGTGAAATTTTCTCGCTCATCACATGATGGTTTGATGATTTTGATTCATGCAGGGACAAGTATGTTGAATTTGAGTTTTGTCAGGAAAGTAAAAACCTAATTATTACAATCACTGCAGGTCAGCAATCAATCCATCCACGTAGTACGCCTTTTCACGTGTAACAATTCACCCAGGCATCACCAATAAATGATTGAATTTGAGTTTTAAACTTTGGAGAATTCAATAAAAGAATTCGCCCTTGACCAGTCTACACAAAAAAAATTTGTTAATGACGTAGTGGCTTTCAGAAGAAACAAATCAACTGCCAACAGATATGTACGGGATTTTGATGAAGGTTGCTTATTGATTGTAAAAATGAACATCATGAACTTCAAAATTAAGTGTTGAAAACTTTTAACTGTTCCCAACAACAAAAATGAATCTCATTGAAGAAAATGGGAATAGAGGAAGCCCACTGAGAAAGGCTGAAGAGGGTGTAGACATGCAAACTTTCAGAGCTGTTTTGTTTATACTCCTATCATAATAAGAATTTATCCAGAAACATGGTTTGGGGTTTTTTTTTTAATTTTTTTACTTCTGACAAGTAGTTTATGTAGAGTTTTTTACTGGGTAGCTCATTCGGTGGAATCCACTGGTCTCCAATGGGGCCAGTAAAGAGAAGACAATGTGAAGAAATTAAAGTTTTAGATGTGGGAGGAAAAACCCCAGAAGTATATTCTGAGAAAAACCCACAGAATCAAGTAGGGACTGAAAGCCCAATCCACACTTTGCCCAGGCAGGAATCGAACCCGGATCACAGCGGTGGAAGGCGAGGAAAGTACCGCTACGCCAGCCTGACTCCCCTGAAAGTACAATACGTCGCGTCAGTGCAAACAAGGTCATAACTCAGATTTCACTGACCTCAAATAATGTTCATTTTAAATATTGTGGCACAACATAATTTTTTCTTTGATATGAAACATGTAGAATATAAAATAGTCTACATATTTAATATCAAAGACAACTTTACACAAAACTTTGAAATGGGAATTATTCGAGATGAGTACATTGCGAGTTACGACCTTGTTGCACTGACGCGACGAATAATTGTTTGGGTTGCAACTATTCATTGTGCCTTATACAGACATACTGGGTATATCAACTGACATAACATCATCAAAATCCCTCATTGATTCCAGTCATCCAACATGCAAAGCTAAACAAAATCAACATTTTTTCAAATATGGTCCACCACCCAAAGAAATCTGAAGGAAATCATCATGAGAGTGTGGATAGAAAAGAGCTTAAATCACCACCAAAAATATTTAAAAAACCCTTCATACCAAGGTAAATTTGAAACTGATGAGACTATTTTTTTTGTAAGTTTTACCTAATTGCACACTTGGCGTTAAGTTGTTGGTATGAACTGTGACCTGCTCTGGAAATAACGTGACATCAGTCACACACAAAAATGAGTCATACAACAATTTTTACAATTTCATTTACAAGAACTGAATCGTGTAGAAATAAATAAACACGAACACAATAATTGAAATGCAAACTGTTGTGTTCCATTTTTAAGGAGTATGCATTTTCAAATCTCAGAATTTGACCACTGAATATGCAAACAAGCAATTCATTAACAACAGGTGTTGTTAAACAGAATGCATATTTGTAAGTGACTTGGGTCGACTTCTTCCAGAAATGGTCACAGAATTTCCCTTATACGATTTTGGTGTTTTATAATTTTACAGCAAATTACTTACACATTATCTTACAGAGGGCACGTATTGTATCCTTTTCAGCATTTAACATGCTGGGTGAACTGAAACCCATTTAATACCCAAAGCTCCTTCTCCTAAGTTTCTTCAACATTTAAATTTGACCCCAGTTTTGGATTTGCCAAATCCAAACACCTGTTATGTTAAAGGTCGAGTACATCATTTGTAATTTGCGGCTTATGTTCGTTTGAAGCAACAAAAGTGCTGAAAATCTAGACAGATGCTTAATACATGTACCTAACCTGATGAAACTTAAGCTCAATGAATGCTGTAAATTTTGAGAAAACAATGTTCAAGGATCTCGATTTTAATTGAAAAGTTGTCGAGTCATGTTTTGAATTGCGTCCGAAATCTGCGTCCGGGACACATTCTTATTCAGCCGATCGCAGTTACACAATGTCACGCACTGAATCAACGAATTATAGCAACCATGGGCGTGTGTGCGTCGCGTCAACGCTTGCATGCACCCATTCACGGCTTCGCCGAATTGAAAAACAAACGAATAACGGAAATTTCCACACATCTGCGGAAAAGACCTTTCATTATTTTGTTCAAAATGACAGCATGCCAGAAGGACTAATTTCATGGGAGTTTAGTGCCATACTATCTTTATACCAAGTAAGCTTTCAACAGTAATTCGGTCAGTTACTTTTTGGATAGCTGCAAATGATGTATTTACCTTTAACATTAACCCATCAGCTCCAGTATTACACTGTATACAGAGAAGCATCCCCAATAAACCGATAGCAAACGTCGCTAGCAAGGACTACCCTTCACTATTCTCATCTCGCAACCTATTGGCGTGGACTTACTTTCATCCCTTGCATTGATGAGGAGAACTCGTCGGAGAAGTAGCGTTTGTTGAGCGAGCGTCTCCGCCGGACCTCTCGTTTCTTCTCCAGCATCTTCTGCTCCTTCAGCTGCTCATTGGTGGCTTTGAGCGGCGAGGCTGTTGCCGCCTCCTCCTCCGAAGCGTCTTCTTGGCCTCACTTGAGTCTATTCGTCAAGTTTGTCAAAAAAATAAATAATAAATAAATAAATAATAACCCATTTTTTTTGTAACTTTGAGGAATACAGGAAAGATTTCAAATTGTGTTATGTTTAAATCATTTATTTAGGGGGCCAATATATAGGTACTTTAAAAGTACTAGGTTTTTTTTTTTTTTTTTCTGAAAGAATCGGAACAAGCTGCAATGAATTCGAAAGGTTTGCAATGCAACTTGGAAACCATACTTTGACTATGTGTTCAACTGGGTTTTTGTTTTGGCAAGAGCCACAGATGTTCTTAGTAGTCGGCAAATAGCAGAAGTTGAAATGATCGGTAAGTACACCCAATCACAAGGGCCTCAATAATCTCAACCCTAAACATCCCTACCTTGTTAGCCGGAATCATCCTGTCATTCCAAATCTAATATTGAGCAACTAACAAGTAAAGTAAACCTGACTGAGCCATGATTAAAGTAATCTTGATACTGCTCTGAAAAAAACCACAACAACAACAATTGACTAGGGTGTTTAGAGCTACGACATACCATCATTTGTTTCCGAATCTAAAGTCCTCTTCTCACGTTTTTCAGCAAAGCTTTTTCTCTCTCTTCTGGCCAGCTGCCGCCGCCGAGCTCTCTCCTCCTTAGCCAAAGCCTGGGGAAGAGAACAAGTGTGCCATGAATCAACAACAACTGCCCCATTTTTCAAACAGTACTGATTATACTCTTTACCATTCTTGGTTGTTGCAATGGTTGCTTGTAGATTATTTCTGAGAAAAGTTTGATCGAGAAGTTTGGTAAATCTATATTTCTGATTGAATGCTAATTCCAAATGACTGCTAGTCGATGACTGTTGGATTAGTCTAGAGCCAGCTGACCAATGTGTACCACACTGCTGGTTACCGATAGCT